CTCCTACTTCAGTAGGCCCCGAATTCTGCGGTAAATCCATGCTGCTTACCAGTGCTCCCGCTCTACTCCAGGCTGGTTCCTGTCTTCGACTATTTTCAATAGCTTGTGCGGCCACTACGGCACTATATCGTGAAAACGATTTCGGCGATAGTGGCGGTGATGGAAGCGGTCGAGCTGATATGGCATTTGTACCAGGTGCTTGTACCTTTAACAAAAAAACGATTATTAATAAATCGAAAAAAAGAACTACTTTCATGGCAATCATCGCAAAAAATAGAAAAAGCATAAACTTTCCCACAAAAAACTGCTTTCATGGCAATTATTGCAAAAAAAAAAAGAAAAAAAACATAAATTTTCCAGCAAAAAACTGTCGTCTCGGCAATTATTGCAAAAAAAAAAGAAAAAAAAAATAAACTTTCCTGCAAAAACTGCTTTCATGCAATTATTGTACAAGAAATGAAAAAACATAAACTTTCCCGCAAAAAACTAATTTCATGGCAATCATGATAAAAACAAACAAACTTCCCCATAAAAAACCGGCCATTCCTGATAATCGCTAACATCATGATCACCGACTTACTATGAAAGTCAAAGCAAAAGCCAAAACCTAGTTACTTTAAAACAGTCAGAGAGTGGTCAAACTAGTCACTTGCTGGTAAGGCTATTTATCTTTTTGAGGATTACTATCTCGTAATACCCTGCCACACGGAATTTTGAACACATTCGTAATATAAAAATAAGAGTTTTAAAAAAAAAATTTTTTTCTTTCCGAAAAAAACCCGCAAAATCCTGCTCATTTCAGAAATTTACATTTCCTACACAAATTCTTCATCAAAATAAACTTCAATAAAAAGTACTAGCACTGACATACGGACGTTACGTATAGCACCTGTCTTTCAGTGGTCCTTCAGCACCTACATTTCGGTAACTTTGAGTACTACTAAACAGCAAAATTCCTCTAAAATTTCCTCCAAAAACAATAAAGATTAAAAGAGAAAAAACCCCGTTTCGGTGAGCTAAAAAATCGCAAAAACGTCGAAAAAAAAAACCACTACATCCTGCAAAAATACTTCTAAAAATTCAATTAATTCATGAAAAAAAAAACAAAAAACCAAAACCACCGCCGAATTTATGGTCGGGTGATGCAACAACAATCATAACAGACATAGAGAAAATGGTCATTAACTGAATCAGCTGAAGAAAAAACGAAAAATCGGAATCGAAAATCGAAAAAATCGACAAAAAAAATCGACAAAATCAAAAACCGGCAAAAAAACGATAATCAGAGCATTGATAAAATCAACACCAATTTAAGGCAATCAAACTTACTTCAGAACTTACTTCCTCATTTCTCAGCGATGGCTTAACAATTGTAGGGCCGCCACTACTCTGTACTGCAGTAGTTTCTGGATAGGATGATGGCCGTCGGACTTCAACAACCGTTTTCTTTGCTCCACCACGATGATCGTCTCTTCCTCTGGCACCACCACCAGTAGTAGCATCAGTGGCTATTCGTTGTGCATGACTATTAATTTCCGCGTTTCGTATCATTCCGGTGGGGTACATCACTTTAAATGCTGTCTGCATGGGTTGTTTTGGTTCTAGC